TAGGGGGGCCTCCCATCTCCCCAAGATTCAGTTCAGCCAGATGTTTCTTATATAAATGTTTTGTTCTGCCTGTTCATTTTGGTGGGTGGTCTTTCCTTCCTCCCCCACCACCCATGCCTGCTCCCAGCCTGCTGCCCCTGGCCACCAGCCCCTGGGGAGCATCTGGGGTGGGTCCCTGGGTCTTCTCCTCTCCTCTCCCTTCTGTCGATCATTGCTCCAGCTGGCTGTATTGCTTTTTAATATTGCACCGAAGGTTTTTTAAATAAAATTTTAAAAAAAGAAAAGGGGAAAAAAAGAGTCCATTTTATGAATGGAGTTGGGGAGGGGTGTTGAAGAGCCTCCTAGGTGCACTTAAGCAGTTTTGGGGAGGAGAAAAAGTAGTGATCTGGCTGGACTGTGCTCTAGTCATTGCTCAGGGATAGTGTTCACCTAGCACACTGGACTCTGGGTTTGATTCCTTAGCACTGCAGAGAGAAGGGAGGGGGAGTAATCGCTGTAGGAGAGTGGGAATATTTGCTTTATCTTCTGTCATTTCCCCATTCTCAGAACTTCCCAGCATACACAGTAGGTGCTCAAATATTTGTAGAGTGACTAACTGTTAACTCCATGTTTTATGAGCATTTTCTTGATTGTCCCCTCAGCAGTCCCATGAGGCAGAGAGCTCATAAAAACCCACTTTATAGGTGAGCCATCTAGCTCGGCACAGCAAAAGATGCTCATGGTCACATGGGGGAGATCTGACACCTGTTGACTTTTTTTTAGTGGGGGTGCTGTACTTGGGATTGAGTCCAGGGTGCTTTACCACCGAGCTACACCCCCCTGCCCTTTTTTTTTTTTTTTTTTTTTTTGAGGCAGGGTCTCAATTAAGTTGCCCAAGCTGGCTTTGAACTTGCAATCCTCGTGCTTCAGCCTTCCCAGTCACTGGGATTACAGGCGTGCACCACCTCACCCAACTACCTGTTGCCTTCTTTACCTAGAACCTTTAAATGTAATTAATGTGCGTGGCTTCGTAGCTAATGTTCTATACTGCGGGCCTTTGCATGCGGTAAAGAATCCAGTCTACAAGTGTTAGGGGCCGAGATCTGTGCTGGGACCAGGGTATGAACAGAAGCCACCGGCCATCAGATGAGGTGATGGAACAGGGAAAATCTTCCAAGCAAAGATTTTTTTTATTGTTAGTAGGCACTTGTGATGTAGTAGTTGTCACTACCACTAAGTTCCTGTGCTGTTTCTCAACTCCATTCGTTTAAAAAAAAAAAGCCAGGGAGTCACAGGGGTGGAGCCTGAGCATCCCTCTCTGGGTTGGGACACGCGTTAGAGACCCCTCCTCCCTAGAAAACCAGCTGCTAGAGAAAAAGGTGCTGATCCTCGGCCACACCCCCAGGATGTAGCCGCCCCAGCGCGGGCCTGGGTCTCCGCCCTCGGCGGGCCCCTCCTCCCCAGTGCCAGGTGCCGGGAGCGCGCGGATGCGCGGGGCCCCGCGGGTGCGCAGCGYGGAGCGGGCGGAGCAGCGCGCCTCTCCCGCGTGTTGAAATTCAAACGAGGCGAACTCCGCCCGCCCGGTGCGGAGCCGGCCGAGAGGTCGAGGCAGGGCCGGGTTAAAGGCGGCCGCGCTCCCGGTCCAGGCAAGTCCCAGGCTTCCTGGGCTCCTTGGGCGGGACTGAGCCCGCCGCCAACGTGAGCTGCGGAGACTTAAAGAGTGCGGACCCCGCCCCCGGCCCCTGATGGCTTCGGAGCAGTGGTTCGTGGGGCCGCTCCCCCTGGACCCTGGAGAAACTCCGCCCTTGGACGACTTGGAACCCGGGACGCAGCCCTGCAGAGATCCCTCGTGGTCAACTCCGCCCGGCAGGCCTGAGGACCCACCCGAGCTGGAGCCAGAGGATGCCCAGGGGCAGTTGCTGGAGGTCCCTGCCTCCATGCCTTCCCCCGAGCCTCCAGCCCCTGACCGGGGGCCGACCCCAGCTCGCCTACCCCTGGACGCTATGTTCAGCCCCATCACGGAACAGCTCCGCTACCTGCTTAAGAAGGCAGATGACTTCCAAAGCTACTTGCTCTACAGGTGATCCTGGATGGGGTCCTAGGTCCCCAGGCTTAGGGAGATGGGAGATGGTAGATGCTCCAAATCAAAGACAGGGTCGGCAGCCCCCACCAGGGTCACAAACTCAAAAGCATCAGGAGCCAAATGGAGAAAGTCAGTGAAGCTGGTTGATGAGGCATACATTTCTGAGAGTGAAGAGGGCCATGGGACTGGGGCTGGCGACTGCTAAGACTGCCCAGAGGTTGCCAAGTCCCTGGAACTTTTTCTCCCTATTTTTAAATGAACTCCGGGGCAGCTAAACAAAACCCTACTGAAGCAGATGTGGCCCCTGGGTTACCAGTTTGAGACCCTAGAGGATAATGTGATTCCCAGACCAGGGGAAAAAGGGACTCTGATTCTTAAGTGTCATTGCCCACTGGAATCCCCTGGGAGTCTTGTTGAAACCCTAAATTTCTGAGCTTCATCCTACAGGGAGTTTTGAGCAAAAGTCAGTTGAGGGACTCAGGTGTCAGCATTTAGCAAGTGCTCCAAATCAAAGATGCCCTGAGAAAGGCCTGGCACTGGGGGGGCGGGGGGTATAACAAGGGTGGAGGCCAGGGATACAGGTGGGGAGTGAACAGGATGGGAGAAACTGGGGGCAGGGTGTGAGGGGTCCTAAAGGCCCCCTTCTCCCTTTAGCAGGGACCGAGTGCAGAAGGAACAGCTGGCAAAGGCCATGCCCACCTTCTTAAAGATGTGTGAGCCTTACTTCTTATACCTGGAGGCTGCAGCGAGGAGCATGCCCCCCATCTATGGAGCCCTGCAGGAGCTGGTTCGAAAGGGGGTGTGTGGGGCCGTTTTCCCAGTCCCTGTGCCTCTTTCTTCTGGAGGCCCCACACAGGCCTGAGGGTGAAGGGGTTGCTTCTGGCGGGCCCTCTCATTATGCCCATCCCCCTTCCGTGCAGCTGTTGGAGATCTCCCAACAGCTGACTCTACGCCTGGAACAGCTGGTCCTCATGTATGCCTCCTTTGGGTTCGTGGACCTGGAGGAGACTGACCCCCTGAGGTAAAAGAGGAGACAAGGGATGGGGACAGTGGTGGAGCCAGGGTCCAGCCTCATGTGCCTTCCCGTGTCCTGCCAGCATCTCCTGCTTCTTCTGTGGAAGGTTCTCCATCAGCCCTTCCCACGAAGTGTCCATCTTCAGATACTGTACCCCAGCCGCCTACACCGCCAGCCGCTTCCCCCGGTACCTCTATAAGAAAATGCGCTGGAACCTGGAAACCACCCCAGAGCCCAGCAATCGAGGACAAGATCCCCATGTGGATTAGTGAGTCCCTTAATCAAAGTCCTCCTCTTCCTATGCTGAATGCCATAGTGGGCCTTTGAACCAGTACCAAAGAGTGAAAACCCAGAAAACCAAGTAGCTTTGAAAGACCTCCCCACCCCACACTGGGGATGGAATCCAGGGCCTAGCACAGGCTGGGTTCTACTCCTGAACTGCACCCCCAGCACCCCCACCTGCCCCTTTTTAGCCCCATCCTCCCATCAAAATAAAAGTAGAATTTTAAAGAGAGCCACATCCCTGAGAATTTCAGGGCAACTTTGATAAGTTTAATCTCATCCTCAAAATTAAAGCCTTCCACAGAAAAGCTGAGAAATCATCACACTTAACTGCTGCTCTCTCTCCCCTCCCAGCTACTTCCTATGCTATCGAGATACATGGGAGGACACAGGCCAGAATCCAGCCAACTCGTGTCCCCAGATCCAGAAGCTGTGGTCCATCGGCCGATGGGTGCCCCTAGGGCCAGCTGAAGATGACCTTTATTCATGGTAGGAGCCAGGGCAGTGGCAAGGTGGAATTGGGGGGAAGGACAGGATCCCATCATCTAGGAAAGCCTCGACGCTTTACTTCCCTTGGTAAACCGATAACATTTTATTGTGTCCCAAAAAGTGCTTTATGCAGACTCGTGTAACAGCCCACTGAGATCTAAAGTAGTGGCCCCATTTACAAGGAAGAAAACAGGTGTTCAGAGAGGTTAAGTTACCTGCCCAAGGACATACAGCTAGTAGAGTGATTGGCGGTCACCCCAGGGGAACCACTGCTCTAAGTTTCTCATCAACAAGGAAACAACTTCCCTCAGGATTCCCACCCCCCCCCCACACACACACACACACACCCGCAGCTGAAACAAAGCGAAAAGTGCTCCCAAGGGGCAGGGGGCGCTCACGTCCAGGCCTGTCTGTCCCCGGCCCCCTAGGATTTTGTGCCCGCAGCCTCCTGGGGACTACCAACAGCTGCTGACTATCGGCTTCGAGGAGCCGTCGCACATGCTGGCCACCGACCTGCTGGTGCAGATTCTCATGGGTCAGGCAGGCCCGGCCCGGCCCCCCAGCGCTGTCGGGCCTCCGGCGTGGACTGCGCAGGGGCCTTGAACCTGGGGAAGAAGGTGGGGGCTGGAGCTTGACAGTTCCAAACTCCCAGAGAGGGGCCAGGGGAGGGGCTCACTCGTTCTCCTAGCGCAGCCTGGCCTCGCCTTCCAAGGGGCCAGGCCGGGCTGGCCAGTCTGCACTAAGTCCAGCCCGGTCCGGCCGGCCGCGGAGCCGGGAGTGCAGACACACCAGTTTTGTGTTAAATAAAAGAAAGAAAGAGGTCACAGGCTCAGCGTCCGYTCCAAGCGCCGCGCCCCTCCCCTTGGGGCGGGTAACCCCGCCCACTAGCGCCGCCTTCTGGGAAACGTAGTTTTTGGAAATAAAACTCTAGTCGACCCGTAGGCAAGGGGAGAGTTTGG